GTGGAGGAGAAAGTCCTTGGTAAGAGAGGCAACTGCAGTGAGAACACCTACTGAAGGGCACTGTCTGCTTTTCAGAAGTGCTTTCTTTGGAGGATGCTTTACTATTCAAAGGCGTTTCAAGGGAGCTATTGGGAGGGGGATGGTTTAAGATGGAGCTGGGGGCAGGGAGAGGAAGGAGGGGTTAGGACTTTAGGAACCCTCATCAGGTTTATAGAGGGCACCATGAAGGTAGGAGGACAGGAGTGGGAGACGGGGCCCTTACCTGAAACACAAGCTGATTCTGTTCACAGTCACACTCAGACACAGATGGTAGAAATAAACACTTGAGTTACATGGCCTGTGGAGTGGGTGGGGAAGTGGAAGGGGAGGGAATACATTAGAGGAAGCAAGTTCAGCCTTAGGTTGAAGACTGGAAAGCTTTCTAGAAGGAAAGAAGGAAGGTGGAGGAGCAGAGAGAACATCAGGCAGTGGCCACTGAGGCAGGCAGGACTGAGCACATGAGGACAAAATGAGACCCTAAAGTCCCCACAGTTGTAGTGAGGCTCTTGAAAAATTGGCATTTTTATTTCCTTTGGATCTTGATGGTATTTACAAGAAACTGGAAAACATTTTTATGACAAATCTCTTATAAAAAGAGAAATTGTAGATCATAGATAACCTGTCTATAATTAGTAAAAAAAAAAAAAAAAAAGAAAAAAAAGCAAATGTCAAGTAGGTGGGTTTCAACACACTGCACAAATGTTTGTCAAATGCCTACTACTGGAAAGCAGGTACTCTTCAAGGGACCATGGAGAACAGTTCAGACCACCTGCCTCAGCCATTTCTTCTGGAATTCCTTAACATACTAAACCCATGCATGGGCTTTAAGGCATAAAGTGCTGAGATAATGCCATTCTATTGCAATGTTCTCTTTCATTGGCCAGTAGCTCCACTGGCCTCATAAGTAATAAGAAAGTATCATCTACACACCTTTGGCAGTGAACTGTGAAAACTAGGTTGAAGAAAAACCAGTGCTACCAGTAGAGCTAATATGGATTGCCAGCACCCACTTTAGCTATAATTTAGAGATGAGGAATTGACAGCTGGGAAGAAAGATGTCGAAAAATGACTGACAGAGTGGAAAGCAATTTTCTTCACGTTTTCAGATGGTATGTCAGATTTCTCTTGCTATAACAAACAGCCAATATAATCAACTTATAAAGGGAGATGGTTTATTTTGGCTCACAGTTTTGGTGTTTTTAGTCCAAGATACATTGACCCTAGTGCTGTGGGGCTTTGGCACATCATGACAAGATCACATGGCACAGCAAAACCATTCACCTCATGGCCAGGAAATGAAAGAAGAGAGGAAAAGGAAGGGGCCGGGGTCCCACCATCCCCTTCAAGGACATGCCCCCTAAGGACCTATAGATCTTCCTCTAGGCTCCACCTCTTAAAGCATTCCACCACATCCCAATAGTACCAAGCTGGAGACCGAGCTTCTGACAAACAGGCCTTTGGGAGACACTCAAGATCCAAACCAAGGCCGATGAGATTGTGGGGAAGGCTTGAGGAGACCTAGCAAAAAGGACATCTTAATGGTGAGAGATGTGGGGAAAGGGCTTGAGAGCAAACCACAAAGCTTTGATTTGAGCCGAGGGCCTTCAGAAATCCCTATTTTTCTCTGAGCCTCAGTTTCTTCATCTGTAAAGTAAGAGGGCTAAACTGAGGTCCTTTTTTAAAGTTTTGAAATGTTAGGATCTAGACTGCTTCAAAAAAAAAAAGGTTACTTACAAAACAAAAGAAAACAAAACAAGTGTCAGGTGTGGTGTGGTGGTGCATGCGTAATCCCAGCACTTGGGAGCCTGAGGCAGGAAGATCACCATGAGTTCAAGGCCAGCCTGGGCTACATAGTGAAACCCTGTCTCAAAAAACAGAACAAAACTAAGAACAACAACAACAACAACAAAAGGTTACTTATGATACATTGAGTAAGGAGACAGAGTAGGGACAGAAAATAGGAAACATCCATTATCTTTTTAGAACAAACTGATCACCTATAACTTGTTGGAAGTCTTTGTGATCTCCTTGAGGAATGCCATTCTCTCTGATACCTGCACAGAGTGAGTATACTATTTGTATGTATCTCGCTGCCTCTGCTTTTACTTTATCCCTTACGCTAGAGTGGACACACACGAATTGGTCATTTCTTCCTATTAAATAGCCCTTGGTATATACTTCCTCCTCTCTGTTCATTTTCCATGCAGAGTCCAGGCCCTTTTCGTTTTTGTATCTTCCACAAATTTTAGAGCAGTGCTCAGCCTTTGACAGGAGTTCATTCCACATTTGTTGATTGTGTGTAGATGACATAAAAGGCCAGTTATATATTTGAGCATACATTGTATACAAACCACTATTTACTTTTAGCAGTTTGATACTGGTAGGAGTTGGGGGAAAAGAACTACAATTCATAGAAACTCTTAACTTGTACTCTTTTTCCCTCAAATTGCAGAACTGTGGTGCTTAGTTGATAAGCTAGTTTGGGGGGTATTAACACTGTTTTATAGATGAACCATGGAGGTTAACTGACTCGTGTAAAGTTACACATCCATGTGAGTGCTGAAGTCAGGATTTGAGCCCGGGCTTCCTATATCCGGTGTCTGGGTTCATTTCACTTTGTGAGCTCCAGGTCATTAATGTCCTGACGTCCTGTCTGAGGTCTCTGTGCTACAGTCTCTTCAGCTATGACAGGGATTCTGAGCATTGACTTCAAAGCACTTCTTTTTCCACAAAACGCAGTAAAAGCAAAATCTTTGCCAAGATTTTCTAGTCTATTGAAACTTTAAGACTTAGTTTCACCCTTGGTGGATTTAAAAACCATTAGATAGTATATTAGTCTTCTCAGGCTGCCATAACAAAATACCACAGACTGGGGTATTGTATTTCTCATAGTTTTAGAGGTGGAGAAGTCTAAGATCAAGATGCTGCCAAAGTAGGTTTCATTCTGAGCCTTCCTCTGGCCTAAAAGTGATTGCCATCTCACCGTGTACTCACGTGGCCTCTTTGTGGAGGAGAGAGGTACAACACATGCTCTCTGATGTGTCTTCGTACAGGGGCACAAATCCCATTGGACAATGGTCTCCTAATTATAACCTCATTTAACCTTAATTATCGCCTTCCATGCCCAGTCCCCAGATACAGCCACACCGGGGATTAGGGCTTCAACATTGGAATTTTGGGATCACACAAAAAAATAATAAACAGCTGTATTTTTGTTTTAAGGTGGAATATCAAACATACCTATTATAATCAGTTAGTGTTTTGGAAACTGTCCTAGTCATTTCCTCTCTGTTCTGGATATTAGAATTGTGCTCTTTTATTTAGACCTGTCTGTGGGTCTTTGTCAAACCTAAGGGAGAACTTTCGTTGTATTTGGATCTTGCCATTTTATTGACCGTTTTTACTTTAATGCAGCTTTTGGTGTATTGTTTTGTCACGTATGATCTTCTGCACATACTATACAGTTTTATGCCTAAATAAACATGTTTGTGTTACCAAGAGCCCACTTTGTGAGGGTCACTGGGCTGCTTGTTGGACCACAACCATGCCTAAGAACCGGTAGCACTGTGTCTAGCAGATCTGCAAGTACAAAAGGTGGTCATTGCCGAGCAGATTTGGGAGCAGGGACAGCCAGTCCATCTCTGTTAAAAGCTGATGCAGCAAGGAAGGCCGTTATGTTGTGATTTAAAAACAATTATGGACATTGCTGAATAGTTCTGAGGTAGAATATGCTTTCTAGCTTCAAAGTTTCCATTAATAAGTTTTGCTGGGGGAGAGCTCGTACTTTGGGAAGTGTTTATGTACTAAGGACAGTCAGATGCTCAAGCAAAATGCTAGCATTCCCCTGGGGTATGGAGCATTTTAAAGCTCTATATGGTCTCTGCAGTTACTTTCCAGATGTACATTTCTGTCAGATCACCAGCAGAAATTATTTCAGAACTCTGGTCAGACTATATGAGGTATACCTCGTAAGGGCCTGAGGGTGTTAGGTTTGAAAGAGGTGGGAAATGATAGAGGCTAGGGGTTGAGCCAGTGGGGAGGGGAAGAGAGGGAAGAGCACAGCTCGCCTAAATTGCCTTACCCTTGGATCTCTGCCAACTGACAGCCATATTGCTAATTAATTGACACAATTTGATAAGGGGAGTAGAGGCTGTCACTAGGTCTGAAATAAGAGAACTAAGCAGGACAGAGGAGCATGGGCCTTGTCAGTCTTGGGTTTGAATCCTATTTCTGCCACTTAATATTGGCATGAGCAAGTTATTGAGCCTCAGTTTTCTTTTTTCTTTTCATTCATTTATCTATTTACTTGCAGTGCTGGGGACTGTACCCAGCCCTCACACATACTAAGCAAGTGCTTTACCATTGGGCTCCCCCCTATCCCCTGAGCCTCAGTTTTCTTATCTGGGAAATGGGAATGATAATTGGTTAGTACAGATAAACTACCTACTTCATGAGGTTGTTGGGAATCCACAGGGAACGTCTGGCTTATACTAGAATCCCTTTATAGCACTGTAGAGCACAACCACATGGCCCAGGGAGGCCTGCTGTTCTACAAAATTAAGCAAAGTAAATTAGTAACTGAGGATTTACTTAGCTAGTGATTAAACAACAGTTTAGTTAATAGGCTATTAATGGTCCCCAGGTGTTGGTAATTCTGAGTATTTGCTTTTGAAAGCAGTTGTGTAATTCCTGCTGGTACCTGATTTTTTTTTTTAACAGAAAATATTGAAGTGTAACAAATGATGTTCTCAGGGCTATTTTTGAGAGGATTAAATGATATCATGCATATAAGGCATTTGGTATAGTGTCTAACCCACAACAAAAGCTCTACAAAAGTTATCTGCTAAGGCTGGGGATTTAGCTCAGTGGTTCCAGGGCCTGCCTCACAAGCGCAAGGTCCCGAGTTCGATCCCAGTACCAAAAAAAAAAAAAAAAAAAAAAAAAGAAACACACATAAAAAAAGTTATCTGCTATTATGCGCTTACTAGAGGTCAACTGGCTACAGTGGGGCCAAACCTTTGCGAAATTTAGACTCCCCATAAGTCTACCACCACCTTGTGGCTGCTAGTGGTACCGCATAAATTGCAAGGAAGAATTATTAAATTGCTTGGCTTTAATTCCATATATTTACAGTTGCTAAGTATCACAGGGACATGGTTCAGAGTGTAGCTTATTTGCATGAGAGCTGGATCTGTGATCATTAAACAATGAAGTGACATTTTTTCACCTCCATAGTTGCCATAGAACAAAAAAGGTAATGGCAAAAGTAAATGAAGCAGGGAAATAGAAATGCTTATGTGCTGTAAGTGGGACTGTAAGTCAACATAACATTTGTACAAGGACAAGTTGATGATGTCACAGAAGTCTTTGATGTTTTCATGTTTTGTGGCAGCCATTCTGTTTGTAGGCATTTCTCTTGAAGTAATCAAGATTGGAAAAAAGATTTATTTAGAAAGTGTATATATACAAACACACATATGTAATGTATACATAAATAGCATTACATACAATAGAAGAAAATAGGCAGTAATCCCATTTTTATTTGTGGATCAGAGTTCTAATGCTTCTTAGAAGGAGCGGGGGCAGGAGGAAAGTAGACATATTGGCCTCTCCTGGGTAAGAGGAGTTAGGGCGGGGGAATCAGTTCAGAATCTGCTCTGGGAGCTGTGTGATTTAAGAGCATTCGGTGTACCCACTGATTTAGTAATAAAAACTACAAAAAGTAAGTTGGGCACGGACAGATTGGCAGATAGAGATATATAGAACATCCAGAGTGTGCAGAGCATGTGTTAGTAAATTTTATTTTGGGAATCAAGGGTTTATAGGGAATAGAAGTATTGATAAAGGCAAAAATTAATTTTGGACCTTGGGGAAGAGGCTCAGAATGGGTGTCACTGTAGGGATATGAGAGCAACATACTCAAATCAAGGCCTGAAAATTTAGGGGTTCCAGGACACAGCCCCAAAGATAAATGTCCCTTCGTTTAGCTTTGCTTAGAATCTGAGGCCAAACTGCCTTTGACATGTGTTTAACTCTCTTGATCTTTGATTCCTTATATGCCCAGTATGACTGTGGAGAGGGATACCCAGTAGGTGGAAAGCCTGCTCACAATAATACTTCATCCTGACCTTAACTTTTAGGATGAGGTGGTATATTGTGGGAGACCCTGATCAGATTCTGTCACTTATGTAAAGTCTGCACCCCTTCTCTCCCCTCTCCTCCCCTCCCTTCTCTTTCCTTCCTTCCTTCCTTTCTTTTTTGTACTGGAGATTGAACCTAGAGCCTTCACCTTAACTACCTCCCCATCTCTTTTTATTTTGAGACAGGTTCTCACTAACTCACTAAATTGCCAAGGGAGACCTTAAACTTGTGATCCTCCTGCCTCACCCTCCCCGTGTGAAGGTTCTCTGATCTGTCCTGGTCCCCTCCAGCCTGTTCCAGTACAACTATAGTAACCTCTATCCAGGCATTGTGTGAGAATAGTTGACTTGTAACAGTGTGATTTTAAATTATTGTATCAATATATTTAAAAGCCACAGGCTTTTCTCCCTCTAACTTTTTATTATAGAAAATGTCAAACAGGGCCAGGGATTTAGCTCAGTGGTTTTGCCGCCTGCTGTGCAAGCGCAAGGACCTGAGGTTCGATCCCCGGAACCAAAAAAAAAAGAAAAAAAAGAAAGAAAATGTCAAGCATACATAAAAATTAAGAAAATAACTGAAGGAAACCTCATGTACCTATCACCCTTGACAATCAGTTGTCACACTTTTGACTAGCAGGGGTCCTTTCAAGTTGGTTCCTTATTCTTTTGATATGGATTGGCCAATTTTAAACGGCCACCATCTTGATGTTTGCCTGCTACTCTGAAAAAACAGGCTTGGAGAAGAAAAAACAGTCTGCAAATATGTTCACCCTTCCCAGCAAGGGAAGGAACATACAATGGCCACTTTATTGTTCCAATTATTGTTGCTTAGCTACATGTTTGTCATCACATGTTTGAGAGATTAATTTTATAGGAAGCTTCTTGCGACTAGAACATATGGGAAACATACATAGGTTTCATATACTTTAGCAGAATAAGTCTTACTAAGCATCTGGTATGAGAGAGATACTAAATCCCCATTGTAGAGGATGCCAAAGTGACTTAAGGGAGTCACTGATGAATAATTTGTCTCCATCCAAGGGGAGAGCCCTGTAGTTGCTAAGGACACCATATTACTGAGACAAAAAAAAAAATCTGGACTTTCCAAGTCACCATCTTTATGATCTTGGACAATCCATTTCACCTTTCTGACCCTAGTTCCTTCAATCTTGAAGAGGGGAAGTGGACTCATTCTCTAACTGTGCAGGCCCTTTCACTTCAGAAATTACAGAAATTGTTTATACAGGATTGTATGCTTTTAAAAGTGTTCCTCAGACCTGAGGGATCACAGACTCCACTCCTGATTTTAAGATGAATCTGTGGTTGCTCCAGGATATGACCTGGCTAAGACCACAGATACAGTGATGGCAATATCAGATCTTTTGGAGTAATTTCTTTATTTGATTACACAATGACTTTTCTTTCTTCATCTGTGACAAAAACTAGAGAAATCTACTTAGTTCCAAAGCTGCCTGTCATTATGATTTGGAGGAATAATCAGTTCTGTAACAAACAGAAATCAGAATTAAGAAATCAGAGTATCACATAGATGTTCAACTTTTCATTTTTTGCTGTTGTATACCAGGTATTTACAGTATAACAAGTCCAAGGAAAAGTCACTGGAAAATCTAAAACTGCATTCCTAGTAAATTTCTGAATATTTTCCAGTGAATGTTATAATACAATAATAATGAAAAAGAAAGTATTGATCCTCTTTCAAACAAGGGAATCGTATCAGGGATTAAGCTTAAGTGATTTGCTGACATTTTTATTGCTGGAATTGGTAATTCTTTCTTCAAACTTCCTTTTACAGGATAGCTAATCGCCCAAAGAAACACAGTGGAAAATGCAAAACAACGAAATTATAAAACCTGCCAAATACTTCTCAGAATTGGAAAAGAGCATCTTGCTTGCTTTAGTAGAAAAGTATAAATATGTGCTGGAATGTAAGAAAAGTGATGCACGAACTATTGCCCTCAAGCAACGTACCTGGCAAGCACTTGCCCATGAGTACAACTCTCAGCCAAGTGTATCGCTGCGGGATTTCAAACAGCTGAAGAAGTGCTGGGAGAACATCAAGGCTCGGACCAAAAAAATTATGGCCCATGAAAGGAGAGAGAAAGTGAAGCGGAGCGTCAGCCCACTGCTGAGTACCCATGTCCTAGGGAAGGAGAAGATTGCTGGCATGCTGCCTGAGCAGCTCTACTTCCTGCAGAGCCCGCCCGAGGAAGAGCCTGAGTACCACCCTGATGCTGCTGCCCAAGGTACCACTCCTTGTGCCACTTTGCATGTGCTGCTTGGGGACCTGTTTGACATTTTAATTTTAGAATCCTTTATTTTGAGGGAATTCATAAGAAAGAAACTTTCACATCCAACTTGACTTTCCTAATTCAAATTCTGAGGATTAAATAGGACATTGAAGTCATATAGTACACAAAAGTACTTGTTTAGATCCTCAAGCTACCTCTCTTAGAGGCCTTATTGTTACTTAAACATAAGGTAAGAGAAGGAACCACACAGCAGTTATTAATAAGGTACTTCAGTTGCTTGTCTTAACCTATCTCTGAATAGAGAATTTGATGGGGATTTATATGCATTCAATTTTTTGAGAATCTATTATGTGCAAAGCACTAAAATCAGTCACTCAAAAGGCCGTTTAAAAGAATAAACTATTTCAGGCTTAAAAACAAAACCACAGAGATTAATACAGGAAACACCCACTTAGCATTTATCCAGTTTAAAAACAATATTTTGACCTCAAGTTTTGGTCTGTTGCACTCCAAGGACTTTGAGAAATTCTGGGAAAATTTAATTTTAATATACTTTGAAAAGAGCAAAATGTGTCACCCATAATTCTTAGGGAAGGAAAAGACTGTCATAATCAAAGATGTGATAGTTCATCATAGCTTCAAAAGGTTAGTATTAAGGGGCCACTGAAATGTCTCCAGACAAGGGGAGGGTGAAGCTGCATAAATTTCCAATAATTCCTGCCTCTTTTAAGACAGGAAATGTCTGGTTAATATTAACAGTTCATTGCAGTTTGCAGAATGTACATCTGGAAGCAGAGGAAGGTTCGTGGGGAGACCAGAGGATTGGTGCTCCAAGGACCCAGCAATCACTTACCTAGGAAAATCATTCTTGGTTTGCAGGATGGGAAATTCACTTGTTAGTGTCCCCAGAGTAGATTAAGCTCTGAGGGAACGGATCCTGTTAATCAAAAGTCACAAGAAACTGTCTTAAACCAAGAATGTTATCTGTGTAGAGTGAAAAAAGATAATTAGCAAGTGAACCAAATACATGCCCTTGTGATTAGTGCCTTTTTTTTCTCCTATAGGTAAATCATCCTGGGAAGCTAATTTATGATCAGAAGTTTGCATGGTGATCATTTGACCAAAGTTAAGACCAAGGAGTCAGTTGGGTAACCATAGTGGTTAATGTCATAAAGATTTGTCAATATTTTCCTATGCAGGAGCTTCGTGTCTGGTTTCTGATAGGGTTGACCCTTAGCAAACAGTGTTTATGTGGGCAGTGCCTACTCTTATCTCTCCTTGCTGCTTCTGTAGGCCATGAGACCTGCTGCTAAATGACAGTGTCCTTGCTTGGAGAGTTCATAGCTTCAAGTCAGTTATTGGCCATCTTGCTGGTCTCAGAGCAGTTTGGTCTCTGTGAGGCAGTGTAGGGAGTGCTGGGAAAGGTAGAGAGGTGAATTATTAAGGCTGCTTTTCACATTACTTATGTTCCATGCTGCTGAGGAAGATGCTGATGTGAACTGCCATTTCATTTTGTAGACTTGGATTCTGGATTATTGTGGTTTTATTTCTTAGGGTCTTCTTATGGGACATGTTTCTACATTTTCAAAATCTTGGGTAGAATCTAAAAAGTTTATTCCACAATTTTCTTCTTCTTTTTGGAAGAAATTATGTAATTCACTTACATATAAACACAATTTATAAATTTCGAGCAAGAAAGGAATAAATTTGTTTTTTCAGTGCCTTTTCTGTAGCAACATTTGCTAGAGGTTTACTTGTGAAAGAGATTAATTTAAATTGGATGATTGTACATGTGTAATATGGGAGAGATCCCTTTTTACTGATCCTTTCTGAAGGACAGCCAAATGTTGCCTGCTCCTGTTTCCACATCAGATTGGGAGAGCAGTGGAGCTTAGTCAGTTGGGAAGTTCATCCAGGCTATCTGTTAGTACTAGTAGGAAAGGTGTTGGGACTCTTTGTACCCTTTAAAATAGTGTTGAGGTTACATATTTCATTTATTTTGTATTTCAATTTACTTTCAAGAAGGAAAAAACTGGAATTGTCAGTCATCTCTTCTGGGAGTTGGTGAGGAAATGACTGCAAAACCTACTATTGGGTTATGACCTGTGCTCCCTTCGGCAGCACGTATATTATTGGGTTATGACCCTCATTATCTCATGTGTTTTGACATGTGTATCTCTGTTTTACTTTTGTATCTCTCTTTTTTTTTTGGTACTGGGGATTGAACTTGGGTCCTTGCGCTTGCGAGGCAGACAGTGGAACCACTGAGCTAAATCCCCGGCCCTTACTTTTGTATCTCTTAACACTGCACTGTCCAGTACAGTAGCTACAAGTTACATAAGGCTAATAAACATGAAATGTGGGTAGACTAAGCTGACATGTACTCTAATTGTGCTCGCCACGTTTTGAAGATTTGATAACACAAAAAGAAAATAAACCATTAACAATTTTATATTGATTACATGTTTAAATGACAATATTTTAGATATATTGGCTTAAAAATATATTGTGGAAATTAGAGTCACCTATTTCTTTTTTTTTAATGTGACTATAAGAACATATAAAATTATTTATGTAGTTTGTATTCTATTTCTGTTTGGCAGTGATGTTTTAATAACTTACTGGGTGCCTGTTAACAGGATTAGGTGTTTAGAGATTTGTTGGAATTTATTATACAAAGGTTAAAGAGGATGGAGCCTAGTAGTATTCCACTAGAGGCCTCCCTCCAACTATGTTTTGGTGTGAGTTGGTATTGTCTGTGTCATCTGGATCACCATCCCCTGGATATTCCTAGCTTTGTCAGGGATTTTCTTAAAATGCACATCTATATTTGAATTCAGTAGTCTTAAAGTTTAACAAAAATACTTAGGAATGTATTTGCCAGAAACCCATCACATACATATACATATGTACACACACACACACACACACACACACACACACGCACACAGATGACACCCGGCAGATTTTGTGATCTGGGATAATTTGGCTTTGACAGTTATCTTCTGTTATCTTGGGGAACAGGTGTGGAGAAGAAACTAAGGGTGCCATCAGAATTTCCTAGGGATGGCAGGATGACAGGAAGTGAAATACATTTAAGAAAACGAAGCTTTTAAAGTAGTATTCAAATGTCTTAGAATTTATATTTAATTTCACATACTATTATTTCTCTGCTACAAAGTAATGAATAATGTGAACATTTCTTAATAAATTCCATTATTATCACTGCTTAATCCAATCTCATTATTTTGGGGTGGGAACTTGGCACAGAGTTCTGTTGCAAGTTGTTGCACACCTATAGCTCTACTCTGTGAAAAGCCCCTCTTGTAGTTTCATGTTTATTCCCTTTTTTTCTTCATTCTCCCTGCACTCAAACTAGCCTAATATGCTTGAGTTTCTTCTCACGTGTGTTTTGTGTGCATGTGTTTTTTTATCTACATAGATTAAAAATTATGCTATAGATATCACTTCTTACGCTTTTTTTTTTCATTTAGAATAATGTTTTTAAGATTTATTCATGCTAGGCATGGTAGTAGCATAAGCCTATAATCCCAGCATTCTGGGAGGCTGAGGCAAAGGATTGCAAGTTTAAGCCCAGCTTGGGCACCTTAAATGACTTAACAAGACCCTGTCTCAAAATAAAAAATAAAAACAGGGCTGGAGATATAGCTCATTGCAAAGGTCCTGGATTCAATCCCCAGTACCCACCACTACCACCGCCCTCCCCCAAAAGATTCTCATTGCAATGTATAAATCTATAAATCTAATCTTTTTCTTTTAATTAGTACAATCGTTTCCTATAGTATGCATCCACCATATCCTGTTAATCCACTTTTCCAGTAATCTAGTTTCCTTTATTCTGTTGAGAAGGACTGGAAATTGGCCTGTACAGTTTTCTTCCTTTCCTTTACTGTCATAGTAGGCTTTCCTTGCTGATACTAAACTCACTGAAATTACCCCAGTGAAAGAACACCCCCATGGCTGTGTTCTGAGTCCCAGAAAACCCTTCCTGTCTTTTTCTATAAAATTGAGTTGTTTTATGCTTTGAGTGGCTTTGTTTTACCTGGGAGAGAAACTACATGGTATGTGTTTGCAGCAGGTTGCTATTCCCAGGCTAATCTTTTTCCAATTAAGGGAATATTCTTCCTATCTGAACACTAGCTTCTATTCATTGGAACTAATATTTGCTTGGAAGTTAATTAACTGCTCTTCCTAGTTTTAAGCCTTATCTTCTGCCTATTTTAAGAGACCTATTTTTCTTTAAAATGTGTATGTTATTGCACATTTTAGAAAGAATAGTTTTAAAAGTCATTTCTTTGATCTCAGACATGAAGATACTCTCTGAATGTTCATAAGTCTAGAGTGAAATTTGGAGAACAAAAATTAGAATATACACTGATATCCTTAGTAATAGATGATTCTGTAGTGGATACAACTTGGAGGCTATATTTTATGCTATGTAAGTGGCTGGCTGAGCAAGTGGAGTAGTGGGAGGCTGAACTGAGGTGGTTATGCTTGGATTTTGGAGTCATGTAGATCTGGATTAGAATCCTGGTCATTATTGGGATGTGGTGGCACATGCCTGTAATCCCAACACTCAGGAGGCTAGCACAGGAGAGTCAAAAGTATGAGCCTGGGCTACAAAGCAAGATCAAGGCCAGCCTGCACTATGGAGTGAGACTCTGTCTTAAAAAAAAAAAGAATCCTAGTAATTTCAAGTAGCCAGATGACCTTGGATATTGCATTTGGTTTTCTATAATAATACCTCCCTCAGAGGGTTGTTATTAGGATTAAATAAGGAAATTGTGCAAAGCTCTATCCTAGTGCCTGATTTGCAGCTCATAAAATGGTGGCTGCTACCATCATCATCATCATCATCATCATCAAAATCATCATCATCATCATCATGTTTCTAAAGCCTTAGAATTGTTGAGATAAAAGTGAGCATTTAGAATTTGGGAGATAGCAGCCTTGTGAGGAGATGTACTTTAAAGACTCAGAGGAGTATCCAGAAATATCCCCTGGAATGAAATCAAAGAACAATGAGAGTAGAGGTATCAAAAAATGTCAATGTGTCCAGTCTTCAAAGGAAACATTTTCAGATATAAAACCAGAAAGGAAATGAGTGAGGTAATGTTCTTTGTGGCTGATGCTCACACATCTGAAGTCCCTGTCCTCAGAGTTAACACTTTCTCATCCCTCAGTTACCTTCTCAGAACACTGTTCTTTCTCCATAACTGTGGCAGGTGGGGGAAATGTGACCCCTGCAGCCAGTGCACCCTACACACATTTCTTAAATGCCCAGGGCTATGCCAGGCTCTGTGCTGGTCTCTAAAAGAGGATGAGTAAGAGGCTGTCTCTGTCTTCAGAGAACTCAGGAACATAAAGGGGAGATAGTTAAGCCTCTAGTTTTAAAAAGTGCTCTACGAAAAGAATGACAAACAAATAAACATAAATGCTCTGCCAGAGACAACCCCAGGAGGCAGTAGGAATGTGAAGGAAAGGCACTGAATTAAGGCAAGAATATTGGAATTAAGAAAGAGTCCTAGGGAGACATTTTCATTATCTCTGGATAGCACAGAAGTATTTTTTTAAAACCTTTTCATCCAAAAGTAAGATTTTTACCTTTTAAAAAAATTTAATTAGGGACTAGTTATGGTTGTTACCTTACCCCTTGGAGTGAAATAATCTAAACTATAGTCATTCGCCTTTATTAAAGGAGTATTACAAATTAGGTTCCCCCCAGTAGCCATTAACATTCCCAGCATCCCCTTTTCCAGAATAATGTAGTGGACATAATAATGTAGTCAACTCTGTTAATAAATTGATATTACTCTTCTCTGAGGAGAATATTTTCATTATTGGAAATGTAAAGCTTCTCAAGAAAGCCTTGGAGTCACAATTAGAAGACTTCATGGGTTAGTGGAGTTAGTGGTT